ATTGGCTACAGAGCCCGTGTCTATAAATCTAACATTAGCATATAGGTGACGTCATGAGCATGCGCATGTTGACCAAAACGATTGTTTTTTCAAACCCAAGACATTTTGGAATCTTAATTACCTCCTGGCTTAATACACGCTTGAAAAACAGTTGGTTAAAGGCGCGATTACACGGAGCAATTTTCTTTGCAACTTCTTCTCGCAACGGCGTTCCGGAACAAGTTACATGGAGCATTGCAGCGTGTAAACTACAGCGCAATTTTTTTTAAATGCTGTGAGATAACTTGCAGCAATTGTTTGCGTCTCCGTTGCACCGTGTAAACACTCAAGCAACTTGTGTCGCTGATTCATCGCAATTGCTCCGTGAAATCGCGCCTTGAGCGGTTACTTTCAACTAAACTTTGGTTGTTTTATAGAATGAAAAATATTATTCATCATGGAAAAGTAATAAATGATACTTATTCATTTGTCTCTCTTTGGTTGGTTTGTTTCTTTTCCAGGGTTTCGTTCACAGTCACAGTTTTTCTTATAGTTTTATTATAAATAAACTAAAAATTGGGAACAAGCTTGAGAGCTGCTTTTTGTTCTAGACTTCTGCTGTTTATGATGTAGATCCCTATTGTCGCATAGTTGCATCATTTTAACAAATTCAGTTTCAGATCATTTGTAGCGATGCATGACACAAGTGTTCTAATCCATCATCACTGAACATCAATGATGCTTAACGGGGTTAGTTTGCACTCATTTGTAGCGAGTGCATCAGACAAGTCCTTCAATCCATCATCACTTATTTGGTTGTAACTGATGTCCAACATGGTTAGTTTGCACTCATTTGTAGCGAGTGCATCAGACAAGTGTTTTGATCCATCATCACTTATTTGGTTGTAACTGATGACCAACGCGGTTAGTTTGCACTCATTTGTAGCAAGTGCATCAGACAAGTGCTTTAATCCATCATCACTTATTTGGTTGTCACTGATCTTCAACGTGGTTAGTTTGCACTCATTTGTAGCGAGTGCATCAGACAAGTGCTTCAATCCATCATCACCTATTTGGTTCCCACTGATCTTCAACGTGGTTAGTTTGCACTCATTTGTAGCGAGTGCATTAGACAAGTTCTTCAATCCATTATCATTTATTTGGTTGTAACTGATGTCCAACTTGGTTAGTTTGCACTCATTTGTAGCGAGTGCATTAGACAAGCTCTCTAATCCATCATCACCTATGTGGTTCCAGCTGATGGACAACTTGGTTAATTTGCATTCATTTCTAGTGAGTGCAATAGACAAGTTCTTCAATCCATTATCACTTATTTGGTTCCAACTGATGCTCAACGTGGTTAGTTTGCACTCATTTGTAGTGAGTGCACCAGACAAGTGTTCTAATCCATCATCACCTATGTGGTTGCCAATGATGTTCAACGTGGTTAGTTTGCATTCATTTGCATCAGAAGACCCTAACATCTTCAGTAGCTTACACATCTCCCGACATCCAACAGATGTAATGTGGTTGTTACTTACATCTACACCTACAATACTCTTTAACTCTTGTAAAACGAACACTATTGTTGTCATATCTCCATCAGTTAATGACGCGTTACTCATGTCTACGTTTGCTACACCACTCAAACTGTCTGCAACCAAACATTTGAACCATTCGTTTTTTTTGTTTCGTGAAATCTCAAATATACACTTGAAAACTCTGATCACTAGCTCCTTTTGTGCATATAATGGCCAGCTTTCTTCACCAGACGTTTGCGGAGGTAAACTTGTAATAAAAATCCTTACTATAGAGTTCATATGTTCTTCATGATGAACCAACCCAGCAACAAACTGCATCACTACTTCCCACTTGCATTCACGCAGATGTTTAACAATCCAGCTTTGCAGTTCGTTCAAACTTTTTCCCTTTACGATGTATCTTGCAGCCAGAAGCTCTTGAATCGTTAAGTGAAGGAAGCAGTACTGTTTTTTCTTTTGGATACCACCAACTTGTTGGCTGGGCAGCCGATGAAGCAGACCACTTTCTTCATGTGTCTCGACTTCATTTGATTCGAAAATCAGCCTATCCTCTTCAATTCCTTTATAAGCTATTTTCCCGAGACTTTTCAAAGACTCTTCTACTGCAGGATTGAAGTCACGTGAGGATAACAAACTTTCTTGTTCAGGAGGACTGCCACTATATTGTGAGTTGTGTTTGCAGACAATAAGCACTAATGCATCTTCGTAAATTTCAGTGAGTGTAGTTGGCAAATAATCGACACCGTTGTCTTCATCTCGTTTTAGTCGTTCTTGTAACGAATAGCACACAATGTGACAATTTACAGGAATGTAGCACAAAGACAAAAGATTTGCATTGCTTCTGATGTGATTCCATATTTTCTGTTTTCTAAAGTCTTGACAGAACCTTTCAACGAAATTTTCTATTTGCTCTGAATTGAATCCCAGAATTTCCAAAGTTCGGTCAAACGGTTTGTTTGGAAATGTTACATAAGAAAGAGCAGTTGGTCTTGAGGTAGTAACAACTGTAGCTCCTTTAAAGAGTTTTCCTAGTGTTAACTTGGAATACAATGCAGAGAATGGAATTGTCTCTGCAAGATTGCTCCCAAATTCTTCTTCTTTAACAATGTTTTCTTTCTTTCCAAATTCATCAAGACCATCGAAAATAAGCAACACTTTTTCTGGCTGGCTTAGTATC